TTTTTATTTCTTCTGCCCAGCTACTACTCCAAGTGATGCACTTGAAACATCTCCCTGGCAGAAAAAGAGGCTATTTGGTTTTCAATTCTTGTGGAAAACCCAGCATGGAATTGCACTTGTCCTGTTTAGTTTCAGCTGCATGTAGGCAGGAGCTTTAGAAATCATTGCAGAAGTTTTATCAAGTCAGTAGCAATCCTCTGCTGATATCAAAAAACATGCTTTTTAAATATTTAACCTCCCAGTTCATTGGGTAAATGGAGTAAAAGAAAATGTTGATGCTCTTCATGGCTACAGTTCATTTTTATGTATCGTATTGGATACCAGAAGGAAGTTTTCCATTAAATTTATTGACATTTATTGAGTATAATGGTTAAAGGTGAACGGACCTTGGAGCCTAGAGTGCAGTGTGGCCCAAATCCATCTGTTTTCTGGCTCTTGAAGTGTCTAAACTGAGTGTCTCTTAGTATCAAAGTTCCTGAAGCTCCCAGGACTGTTTCTGAACATATATTATGGCAGGCAGTGATAAGAAAGGAAGGTTTTAGTAGGATTTAGGTAAAAGACTCCAGCTGTTCTTTCCAAAAAAAGAGTTTGATTTGTGTTTTCATGGCTTTTGAATCAGTGATACTGCTGTTATAGTAATAATATTCTTGTGGACTTTTTTAACTGTGAGCATTGCACAGTAGTTTTGGTTTTAGTACAGTCCAGTACCCTGGACTCTATAATGTAATGCAGTCTGCCAGGAGTTCCTTTTTCTGGGAAATATAAATTTATTTTATTTTATGGTCTTAGTTTTGAAGGCATTTTGGTCTTTTCTAGTACCCCTCATAGCTCTGCTCCCAGTATCTGCATTTCTTGATCTCATAGGTATTTTATCTATCATCTCAAGTAGATGACTGCAGGTGTGTCCAGTCCTGTACCACTATTACATTGGTAAATCTTCCCTAGACCTACATAATATTTTTCCATTTTTTAGATTAATCCTCAAGTCTGACATATTTTCAAATAAAATCAAGATACCAAACTTCAGAAAAGGGTTCAGATCCTTTTCTACTGAGACAAACTGGTTATTGAATAGTGTGTTTTAAAGTATGTTAATTGACAGGAAAGTGTTGCAAAAATAAAGCTATATAGTCATTTTTAGAAATGTTCAGTCGCCAAGGTTCAGCTACACATATACTTACATTTCTGTTTGCATAATTCTCTAGGATAGTGTCAGCTATTAGATCTTACTTACCTACAGACATTCATATTGTTTCTGATATTTCTGAATGAGTAGAAAAATTAGATATGAATATTACTGCTTTATTCACCAGTGTACTATTTTTATAGTGAAGAAGAAACCTCAATAATAGCAAATTTTCTTCTCTGTCTTCAAAATAATATTTTCTTCTCTTTTTGGTGTTACTTTTTATTGTCTTAGCAAGACCAGGACATCATAGTGACAGTTGACTTCAAAATGTCAGTTTCTTATGGTTCTGCCTGATTATCACAGGAACTAAGAGGGCTTTTCTTCACACTTACAGCTTCAGGAATGGGCTCTGTACAAGCACTGCAGTTGCTGCTCATTTGCATCATAATCAAAAGGAAGATTCTTCAGTTAAGGGCCTGGCTTTTACTGTCATCTTTTCTGTGACTAATAGTCTGTGCTCTACTTCGTGTAACTGTAGTGACTTATGATTTTACCGCCTGTTTGGTTTTTTTTTTACTGAGCTTGTTTAGTTTGAAGTTACCTCCTAATACGACTCTGTATCTTGTTTAAACAAGCCGTAAAGAATTATACCCTGGTTAATTGAGAGATTTATCAGATATAAATGCACACCTCTGTGCAGATTTACTTGCTATTTTATATGACTGTTTATATTAGTTTCTTGCAAATTTTAAAAACATTCCTGCATGCTGCTACTCTTTTAAATTTCTCCTTCTAGCCATTTAACTCTCACCCACTCCAAAAAATTCAGTCAGATCATACTTCATTTGGTCTTTGACTAGGAATTTCTAAAAGGTCAGGAGAACCAGTAAGATATTTATAAATATTATGTCAAAGCATGCAGAAATATATTAGTCTAATAGGTTTGAACTTACTTAATATTAATGCTGTGTAAATACCATTCTCAAAGTAGCTATTTTAGATTTAATATATAAGTAGTGTGTCGTGGTTTAAACCCAGTCAGGTAACTCGTTCACTCACTCCCCCCCTTCTTTCCCTCCCCCTACTCCCAGAGGGACAGAGAGGAGAATCGAAAAGAATGCAACTCCCACGGTTGAGATAAGAACAGTTTAGTAACTAAGGTATAACACAAATCACTGCTGCTACCACCAATAATAACAATGATAAAGGAAATAACAAGGGAAGAGAATACAACACCTCACCACCAGCTGACCGATAACTCGCACCCCCAGCCCCGACCAAGCACCGACCGATACCTCCTCCAACCCTGCAGTCTCCCAGCCCTTCCGGCTAACTCCCAGTTACATCCTGGCCATGACGTGCTGTGGTATGGAATACCTCTTTGGTCAGTTTGGGTCAGGTGTCCTGTCTCTGCTTCCTCCTGGCTTCCCCTCCTCCCTGGCAGAGCATGAGGCTCACAAAGTCCTTGGCCAAACCAAAACATCATTGTTATCAGCTCTGTTCCCAGGCCGAAAGTCAAAACACTGCACTGCACCAGCTACCAAGAAGGAGAAACATGACTGCTACTGCTTAACCCAGGACATTATGATTTCAAAATTAATGCAAAAATCAAATAGGAATAGAATTTAAAATATTAAAATACAATGTAAAACCAGTCAACAAATCTATTTTGTGGTTAAATCGTAAAACTTCTTAGTGCATATGTCACTTTTTTTTTAATCCCTCCCCCCCTTTCTTTTTTTCAGTAAGGAAATCAATACATCAAATGTTTTTACACTTCAGAATTTAATTATTTTCACAACATTACTTTTTAATCTATGCAGGAAAGAATCAAATGTTAATATGACTTCTTTTAACAAGGAAACAAATTAATAAACTATAAAATCAAGTTGACTTTAAAAGTGGATATTTGTTTTCAGTGAAATGCATTGAAACCAAGTTAATAATAAGCGAGAATTCACTGAAGAAGACCTAGTGGATCTCTTAATAATAGGAAATTGTTCCTTTGAGTAGTTATGTAGTTATGTTAGTTTTTATTCAAGCTTTCTAGAGAAAAAAATACAAAAAGATAAATAGGTAATCCTTAATTAATGAAGACAGAAGGGATATACAGTGTACTTCTGTTATGCAGTGGTTCTCTTACTTTTTGAAGAACTCTTAAAAAGATTTCGCCAATATGTGACATGTATCTGAGAATTTTTCTACTCAGATGAAAGATAATAGCTGTAGGAGTCACAGTGTTACTAAATTGGTGATGGAGTGAGGTATCAAATATGCTAAAACAGGTAACAAGTGATTGTTCCCAGTAAGCAAATAGTTATGCACACTTGTTTCTCTTTTTATCTCTTCCCTGTATTGTTACCTGAATTAATTTTCTTGGTTTTGATTATAAACTTCTAATACATATAATTATACAACTATTATGTATACTTTTTTATAAAATGATATATACATTATAGGTTTATAAATCACAAATTTCCAAATTAAGAACAGAGACTATAACTTATACCCTAAATACGCCTACTTTCTTAATAGTGTTTCATTTACCCTAAGTCAGTTATACACGGCAAGTTGATACAAGCATGATGGTGCAAAAAGGCCAAAATTAAACCCACGATTCTCTGGATTTTGACATACCAATCTTGAAATCCATCTGGAACTATAGTGCTGTTAAAACAGAACTGTAACTCTATGGTTACATTTTCAACTGAAATGAGATAGACTTGCAAAATAGTGTTTGCCATTTACTCAAGAGCCAGGCACTCAAACTTTTCCATTTATGAGTTTTAAGAAGAGAGAAATTGTCATACTTCATCAAAATGAAGAATTGTATGATCAAGTATGTGGGGTTAATTTAAGCAAACCCTGGTTAGTACATAGTGTTTAGGAAGACAATATAGAGTGTTTTCCATAGTGTACCTGTCCCAGCAGTATGAGGTTAACAGACACTTAAAATTTATATAACACTGGAATTAAGTGATATTTAATCATTTTTTCCCTTTCTACACCAATCAGGGGCTTACTGCGTCATTCATCTTAAATGTGCCTTGCAGTGAATCTTAATATCAGTTTAAATTGCTTCCTATTCATATCTAAAGGAATAAGTATTAATATCTCACTGCTGTCTCTTGGTTCAGATATCATATGTGGTAATAGGGATAATCAAGCGATAGGGGGGGTTCATTGGAAAATACCCAACTGTATTTCCAAAGCCCAGTGCAGACATGGGTACAAATATTTTTTGGTTACCGCTCAACTTAGTTGATATTATCAAGGATAATCCACAGTATTTCTAGGGTATCTTACTGAGAGATAGCATGTGATTTTAAACCCATAATCATATCTGTTAGTTTAAAATGTATGTGTTTTGCATTTGTTCATGCTTGATTTCATCCTTCTCTCCGATTGTCCAGTGGTTTGGGAGTGCAATACCTTCCTGAAGTTCTTTATAGTAATTTTTTATTTCAGATACCTCAGAGTCCAGTCATACCATCAGGGAACTTATCACCTCACTATTTGCTTTTCTAGATCTCTTAGGATGTATCAAATGACACATCTCTTTATATAAAAGGTAGTCTCCCTACTTTGTGAACATGAACTGTTTATTGCCAACAATTGTTCCCTGTCTTTTAAAGACTAAAGAATTAAAAAAAAAAGAACCTTCTCAAAACTTCTTTGAAAATATTAAATGCAATATAAGCAAGCTCACCCTTTAATTCTTCTTAAGCAACATTAGTTTTCATCAGTATGTCATGTATTAACTATTATTCTTCATTTTTATAGCAAATACTTTGTAAGCACTTAAAAATGTTTTCATTATTTGAATAAGATTGTCTAATGTCTCATCAGCCCTGTTTATTTCTGTCTTAAGGTGATGGTGTTTGTTCATGCTAGAAATGCCACAGTACGAACTGCTATGGGTCTTCGAGAAAAAGCAAAAAACAATGGTCATATTTGTCACTTTTTATCACCCCAAGGATCAGATTATGGTCAAGCTGAAAAACAGGTAAGTGATAATTTATATTGGTTTCTTTCTGTCCTAGAATTGATGTTTTTACAAGAAAGTCCAAGATGGGAATAGATGAAGCATTTTTTAGCTTCTGGGAAGGTATATTTTACTCTGAAGGTATGTGTGGAGTGACTGAATTGAATAGAGGAAAGGAAGGAGTAATAGCAAAGGAAAAGTGCTGTTAGTTTTTTGAACAAAAGCTGATAATGGGTTGTGGTTTATGCAACTTGTACTATTTGACAGTAGTTTTCATGTGATGTGCAAGCTCAGAAAGTCCCTTAAAGACCAGTTGCTACAATCTGGGAGAGTACCAGTCTCCTGCTTTTTGCACTCTTTCCCTAAGCATCTGCTACTGTCCACTCTTTTAAGACAGAATACAGTCTTAATCTGACCTAGTCTGTAAATTTGCCATCTTTCCAAAACCATCTGACTTTCTTTATCAATCAACTAATCATGAGCAATCAGAAAGTAATCTATTTGAGAGTTAAAAGCGGGAAAGCTATTTGAATCTCACAAGGTTTTAGCCCCTTAATCTGATCTTATTTAAAAATATACATATGGATCATAAATTACTGGTATATTGAGTGGTGGCCAAGTACTTGCTAGCTGAAACTATATTTTTATGCATTTTAACACTTCTGTCTTTATATGAATTGTGTTAGTTGACCTTCTTTTTTTTGTTTTTTCTAATGTATAATATATAGAAGTAACTTGGTCTGCAAAAACTTCTTTTCATCTATTCAAGCAACATGCCGGTATATCTGCTGACAGAATATTTCCAAAACAATTCTTAATTCAGTGCTATATGTGACATTTACATTTGGTGATATTAATTGAGGTCTAAAGATTAAACAGTTTCTTGTTAATATTCCTTGGAAAATAATGTTCTTCCTCGCTCCCAACTAATTAGCAGAACACAGATGAGATACTTATTCACTGTAGAAGGTTTAATGTATGTATAAGATGCCTTCTCTCACTGACAAATGTATTGATAACCTCTTAACCCCTCTGAATTAGGAATTTAGTGAGGGTTTTAGATTCTACGTCTGCCTTTAGATGTAATAAATACATTACCTTATTTTGCACCTCTGGAAAGAATGTGAAAGGATACATTCAGCCTTACTAATTATGAATGGAGCCAGATGTTACAGTTGGTGAGTTCAAATTTCTGAAATGTAAAAAAAATTCTATTTCAGAGAGGATTTTGTAAAATCAGGATGAAGTGTCTTTGTTCTGTTGAGATGCTTATGAGACCGATAAAAAAAGTTTTTAAAACTAGGCTAAGTTAGAAATTGATGACCCTATATTTCATAAAATACATATTAGAAAGCCACTCTTTGTCTAGAGGATGTTGTATCTGCTGTATTATAAAAATAACATCAAACCTGAACATGGAGATCCCATGTTTCTACTGTAACATGTAATTAAAGCTGAACTTTTTCTTATTATATCTCTTAGAACAAAATCTGAATCTCCTAGATTATTCAAAATAGTATTTTTTAATGCTAATGCAGAAAAAATGTTTTAAGCTATTGAAAGTGTCAGTGCTTACTTAGACACTCAAAATTATTGCTAAAGAATTTATGAAAAATAATGTGCTTATTTCAGCAGCGGGAGGCAGTCCTGAAGGGCAAAGGAGTCCAGGAAGGCTGGACATTATTCAGGAAGGAAACCTTAAAGATGTAGGAGCAAGTTGTCCCCATGTGCTGATGGACAAGCTGGCAGGGAAGACCAGCCTGGCTGAACAGAGAGCTGTTGCTGGAATTAAAAAAAAAAAAAAAAAAAACGGAAAGGAAAAAAAAAAAAGAAAAAATAACAAAACTGCCAAAAGAAAGCGTTTGACCTTTGGAAGAAGGGGCAGGCCCCCTCAGGAGGACTACAAGGTTGTTGTGAGTTTATGCAGGAAGAAAATTTGCAGGGCCAAAGCCCATCTAGAACTTAACCTGACTACTGCCATAAAAGACAATAAAAAATGTTTCTATAACATTTTTATAACAACAAGAGGAGAGCTAAGGAGAGTCTCCATCCTTTACTGGATACAGGGAAAAACACAGTGACAAAGGATGAGGAGAAGGGTGAGGTACTTAATGCCTTCTTTGCTTCTGTCTTTGCTTACAGCTTCTGGCTGTAAGACCATTTGTTCTCCAGGTACCCAGCCCTCTGAGCTGGAAGACAGGGATGGGGAGCAGAACAAAGCCCCCATAATCCGAGGGGAAATGGTCAATGACCAGCTACAGCACCTAGGCACACACAAGTCTATGGGGCTGGATGGGATCCACCCAAGCACTGGAACAGGCTGCTCAGGGAAATGATTGAGTCCCTATCCCTGGAGGTATTTAAAACACATGTAGATGTGGTGTTTAGGGACATGGTAGTAACCCTTTTCCATGAGGAAGTGAACTGTGGTTGCCAGAATTTGCTCTGTGAGGGTATCCTGATTTTGGCTAGCCTCTTTCCTGGCTGCTTTTCAGCTTGAGCAGGAAATCCTAGATTCATATTTCTGTAAAAGGCCGTATTAAAAAGCATACTAGACTGTATGAAAGGGAAGAATCAACTGTGTTTATAGTATTTCTGACTGCCTCAGAAATTAATATGTAATATGAATGTGTTTTGATGTGATGTAATACTTCTTACTTGTGGATTTGGCAGGCAGATTACATCTCTGAGGCAATGCATTTTATGTACCATATTGGAAAGGACAGACACAGAAAAGGAGGAGTAGGAGTTGTGCCCTAGATTGGTTATATCTTCGCCTGTGCAGAGCTCCACAGTGAAACTGGACATGTGCAGCTCCTGTTTGGTTCAAGGTCAGAGCAGGAAGGAACAGACAGGGAGGTTTTGGTTGAGATCTGGTATGGACCACCTGTCCTTGGGGAGGTAGTTGATGTGACTTATTAGGAGCTACTGGAAGAAGTCTCCTACAGGTAGGCCTTTGTTTTCATGGCAGATTTCAACCATCTTTTAGAATGGTAGCATTCTTCAGGCAACCCAAGAAGTTCATAAGCTGCATTTGGAAGCAGCTTTTGAATCCAGCCAGGCACCTACTTGACTTGGGGCTCAAGCAGGGTAGAACTGGAGGCAACTGTTGCCATGAGTGGCAAGTTTGGGTGCAGTGATTAAGCTCACTGTTGAGAGGAAGGCTGTCATAGTGAACAGCGAGAGAACTGTGGTCTTTGGAAGAGCAGTCTTTGGCTTATTCAGAGAACTGCATGGTAGGATCACCTGGGAACCTTCCAGGAAGTAGACAAATGTCTCTGCTTTTACACTAAAGAAATTGATTAAATAGGGAGGAGTTGAGCTTCACTGAAAGCAGTGATGACATAGTTGATGCAGGAAGTGGAAAAGAAATTGGGAGAAAGGTAATGAAAATGAAAAGTTGTACTAATAGCTTTATTAATAATAATAGAGCAATTATTTATATATATTTAAAGCTATTATTATTATTAATAATAGCTTTAAATACTATTAATAAAAATAAAAAGTAAAAAAATTATAACATTATAAATAAAAACTAAATGCTATTAATAAAAAAATTAAACTAAATATTGTGAAATGTACTTCTTGTTCTAAGCAAATTCCCAAAGGAATTTGAACTCTTATGTGGGGAAACTGCTCTTTCAATGTAATCATGATCTTTTTTCAGGAAAAGCTATAGATACAAGTTGAGTATGGCTTGAATGGTACACACACTTGCAAGTGTTCTTAGATCTTACAGAGGAACTTAAAGCATGAAAGTGTAGTATGCAAAATTATGTAATCTTTCACAATAGAATTTAAAAACTTCTTAAAATTAGTACTTAGGAAGAATGTGAAAGATGAGGCCAAATACAGATGAAACAAAGCTGGTGATGACTGTCCTGGAATGCAAGACCAAGAAAGATGGCTGTTAATAACAGAACAAATTTATAACCAGGGACTGATAAGAGGGAAAAGCTGTGAAGATGACAGCAATGAATAAGAGAGAATTGTGTTCTCCAGTAGAGGTCACATAATGTTCTTGTGGCTGCTTTGAATCTTACAGTGACTATCAAGAGACAGAATAACTCATTAAATTCTTCCAGTGATCAGTACATGTGATATGCACATTTTACATTAATGCAAATTCACATTATTTTACTTATGCATATGAATATGATGTAGATTTTGGGGGAAAATATTATTGTTGTTATTGCTGTTGTTATTATTATCAAAATTGTATACTCCAGTGTACTTAAGGGGTTCTTCATTAACACACAGAAATAAATTAGTAATGGAAATAATAAAAATAGAGTGAAGGACTAGTCATACTGAAGTCTGTGGCAAAACATCACCAATAACCTTTCCCTACATACTTCCATTTGTTCTCTTTCAGGACCCATTAAACAAACAAAGTTAAATTATTGTAATTTATTTTTTTATTATTATTTAAATGATTGAATTATTTTGCTTACCATAAAACCTAGGTGTTTTGTTGGTTCTTAAGGCATTTTAAAGGCTCTTAAAGGAAATCTGTGTTCTCTGTTCATAGGAAAATTGTTGCTGTTTAAAATAAAAATGCATATCATGTATCAAAATGATGATGACACAGCATATAACTTTGAGGCGTATATTTATATACAGTTTTCACAATAAGGATACTAATCAAATAAGAGATATACTCTGCCAAGGCAGCAGCCTGCGTAAACAATCATCAATAATCATAAAATGAGTAATATGCTAGCAACATTTTGCTGAGCAATTAAGGCTAACATAATTAAGACTTATGAGTACACCAAAGATTTCAGTGATGAGAGCATGTGGGGGGTTGTTATTAAAACAGTTGCTGTCCAGTCTAAATTTTCTTTTTCTTTCTTAGCAGTAAATATTTCTAACAGAAATTAATAAAGTAACAGCAGTAGTGTATGTGCATCTTACCCAAGGTGTTTATAATTGTGTTTTGTCACTGGAACTTTCTATAATAAAAGTTGTAAAGATTTCAAAGTGTAACAGGTAGAGACACAAGGCACAGTGAAGCCAAG